CTACCACTTAATGTTTATTATATTGTTATATTACTTCAACAAAAAATATTGGTTGATGCATAATTTTCTACAAAAGCATTTCAAAGGTATGGATAAACTTACCCAACCTTACATTTTTGCCCAGATAACTTTGAAAGCCTGCAACTTAAGGTCATGCTATACATTTAGTTTTAAAATATTTTATGATTTGCACAGCAGGTCACAGGATAGTAAAGACTGCATACCAGTATATGCTCTTGCACCTTAATTAGAAAAATGCATAATGTTCTCACAAAACTTTACTTGCAAATCAAGTATGCATGTTCTTCATAGTCAGACCACCTACTGTTTTTCATTCTGTTCAAAAAGAGCGAACGACCTGCTCCCCCAGGTTGTGAACCTCCCTTTCATCTCTTCTCCTGCTTCTTCAGAAACCTGACTGCATATAACCAACCTCCAACAGTTCTGCAGTCGTATTTTCATGCTTTTCTAGGATTAAAATGACCTGATACTCTATCACGGCATACATGAGAGCTGATTTAGGGGCTTTGCGGAGGAAATGGCCTTTCCGGCTCAGTGTGCGACTCTTGCCCTCCCCTGCTGTCACACTACAGCACTCCGACACAACTTAAAGTGACAGACAGAGGTTTTAGCAGCACAGGCGCCACATGAGCTTCAGTCCACTCCAGCTTTACTCCACAGGGTTCCTAAACATTCATGTCCAAATACGAGAGATCCCACACTAAAATGGTCATTGTCATCTTATGTTCGAAGTAGAAATCTTACACTTCATTTGTGTTTGTGTTAACTGAAACTAGTAAAATTGTGTTGGATTGATAAATAACAGTAAATTTAAACTGTCAGTCTTCTCATCCATGTGCCCTGACAGACAAAAGGATGGACAGACAGCTGAATGAGCCATCAAATGGTGGGCCAGACAGAAATAGATGAGGACAGATGGACAAATGGGCAGAGACAAACAAAAACATTAGAAGGACAGACTGATTTACAAGTGCATGGAGAAATGGACAAACAACCAAGAGAAGAAAACAAAATTGGACTGATGGATGAATATATGGACAGACATGAGGCTAAACAGATGGATGAGTGGATGGAGGGATGATTAGAAGGATGGTGAGACATGAACTGAGGGAAAATGGATAGAGGGATCAGCAGAATAAAGAGTTAGAATGGAGGGACAAGAGGAAAGATATAGATGGACAGGAGGACAAGTTGATGGATGGACAGATAATTAGAGATATTACTGGCTGGCTGAGTGGAGAGAAGGACAGAACAGCAGACAAGTTGACAGATTGAGCAATGGAAAGATTGACCCATTAGAAGATTGCCTAAGCAGTTGATGAATGGACCACAGGCTGAATAAATGGCTACATCAATGCAAGATGGATGGATAAGGCCTCTCCTTCAAATAAAACCAGTTAAAAGCCTTCGTCTATTCTTAGAAATTTAGATATTAATGTAGATGACACCAGGACTACAATCCAAGTATTTTTATTTTACCTGAACTTATTCAGACCTTGGAAACACCTATTAAAAAAAAATTAAATAAAAAAATCTCAGATTCTTCCAGGATCTTAAGAAGCCATAGACCTAGCGGCCTTCATAGCATAAAGCATCAGAACAAGCCCTTAGAAAGCATTCACAAGCATATCCATCTTCAGACAATTACACAGCTTGCCGTTGGCGCCACCAATGTCTGAATGCATGCAATAGGACATCATTCCCATCATGCCCTTCAGCTGCTTTGCTTCATCATTGACCTCCACTGATCATTTATTCATGCATCCCCTCAATGTGGGAAGCTTTTCCATGTTTGGCTCATTCATATTGCATGGTCATACTGGGTTTTCAGGGGGAGGAGGAAGGGATCAGTGCTGATGACCTAAGGTTTCTGGATGTGCTGGAGCTCAGCAGCACAGTAAAAATACTATAGGAAAGGAGGAGGAGAATAAGGGAGGTATAAAAAGGGAAGCTGAAAATGGGCTTAATGAGAAGCAGAGGTCAAAAACAAGCCTAAAACTACCTCTTCGAAATGATTAGATTTAAGCTATATTAATGAAGGGGTTGTTTTAAAAATAGCTTTAACACTTTAGCAAAGAAAACCAAGCAGGTTATCAGACAGGAATACCAATATATTAGAATAAAACACCTCCTGCAGATAAATGCTTGATCTAAACGAGCCAACGCCTCTGAAGTTAAATTTAGTTTGATTCCTGAGCCACATAAACTGCTAATAAACCAAAACAACTGCCTCCAGGGGGTTGAATAATGGACTCTCATTCAATTTAAACAAATCCATGTGTTGAACAGAACCTTTCATTTTCCACTTGATCAGAACCAGCACACAGATGATGTGTTTAATTGGAAAGTCAACAGAGCAGGTCCGATTCAATCACAGCCAAGGAGTCAAAATTATTGTGTTAAGGCATCAGGAATTTTATTTGCAGCAGATGAAGACACTGAAAATTAAGTGATGGCTTCATTGTTTTTAAGAATACAGATGCCATAACAATGCATCAAGATGCTTTTCTGTCCCCATTTTCGTCGTTAAAACCAAGGTTGCGGAGAACAGCTGTCAGATATGCAGTGAGTCAAATCGCCATCTTCTAATCTGTTTTAATCTAAAATTAAAATTGATAAGATAGTAATCTTTAAAATTTGCTAAATTATGTGGAAAGGCATTTAAATTTCCACAAAACCTAGACAAGGACAAACATGCTGAATGAGAAAAACCTTTGAAGGTTTCAGGACTGGGTCAAAGTGCATAACAGAAGTCCTAAAAGCAGGAAAGTCCGCTTGGCCTGGTTCTATCTGCCACTTCCTGTACCGAGGATTCTGGCTGTTTTTCTCCTTTATTCTGGGCTTTTAGGCAGAAAGTCTTAAAAACCAAACAAGACCGTCCTAAACAGACGAAATCCTCCTTTTGATTTTAAGGAATTTTTAGATGCATATAGATTAACTAAGGTACTTTACCCATTTATTTCCTGCTTTATGTCAGCAAATCAGTATAACAGCAGGCAAATGTGAAGAGTTATGAAAGCCTTGGTATGGGCATAAAACAGATAAAGATCAAAAGCTTTTATTTGAAAAATTAAAATAAATTCCTTTAAAAAAAAAAAAAACTATTCAAAACCACTAGGTAAAAACAAAAACCTTTGCATTTAAAAGCTAAAGTCTTAACTTGACCCCAAAATTCAGCTCTTGTTAAGAGCTAAAAATAGAGCACAGAACCTCTGGATCCAACCTGAAAGAGCCCAAGAGGATCTAAGGAGGAATGGGAGAAAATCCCTAAATCCAGGTATGTAAATCATGTTACATCACACTTCACAGGAGCTCAGAAGGCTGAAATCGTCACTAAGATGCTTCAAGTCTGACATGAAAGGAGTCTGGATAGTTTCTAAAAGAAAAAATGAATGAAATCACAGCAAATTCAAACTTACAAAACTATTGAAAAAGCCATTAATGCAGAAAAATGTGGGGGAGGAAGAAAGGATAGTTTTTCCATGAGTGAGTAGCCATCCGTAGCCCCATATTCTGAGAGCTCTTATGTATGAACGGGTAGCCCTCCAAAGCCAAAGCAACAACACTTGAAGCATCATTGACATACAATAGATTTCTCCTTAACAAAAACAGCTCAGTAAACAGTCAGTGGACAAGTACTGATTTCCCTAGAGTTTTTTGTTTTACATTTTGTCACATCGAGCACTTCTTTTACTGGGATCTTATGTGACAGACCCAAAGAAATTAACGCATCATTCTGTAGACAGACAAAAATTATCCATACTTTAATACGCTGAAAAAAAATGCTTTTTTTGTATTTCGCCCTCTTCCTGTGATTAAAAAGTAGATCGATAGGAACAAATATAAGTTTGTGGGTAATGGTCGTTACTGTATAAATACAGCTGTTCTATGAAGGCCTGATTAGGAGACAAAGGGCAGACCCGACAAGATGGACAGTTTAACTAGTGGGCTGGGCAAGTAGAGAAGCCCATGAAAATCTAGAGGAGCTGTGGGTTTCTATTAGTGAACAGGACAACTCAGTTATTTAACATACAAGTGTTCCTTGAGGGAACAGAGGAAAACTTGAGAGGAAAGCCACCCAAGTGGGGGAGGCTGCAAACATGCAAAGAATATCTCATTGGATAACAGTTTAATTTACAATAAAAAAGTTTATAAAAATTAAAACTACCGTACTGCTTTGAACACGAGCCCAATAAAGCTACACACAATGGCGGCAGCATCATTCTTTGGACGCAGTTTACCTACTAGAGTGACGAGAACCCTAAACATGTATAAATATCTTCAACTTCAAATGAAGGAAACATAAGATAGTTCTGGGGAGTACAGTTACCAAATATTTAAAGTCTCAAATGAGGGAAGTTGGTAAGGAGATGTGCTGCAAAAACAAAACAACTTTTTCTGAAGACAAAAGATGAAAGATGAAAACCAGCCATCCTTTAACTTCTTTTTTGCAATTCAGAATTATTTTGTGTTGGTCTATCACATAAAATCACAACAAATGGTATTTAAGCTCATAGTCAAATGTTGCTTAATGCAAAGATTACTGATGGTGTAAATACTGTTTAACGCTAACTCAAAGCAACAAGTTCTAAAGATTAAAAAGGGTAATAATTTCCACAATTATATCAAAGTTTCACTTTAGCAGCATCTGTAATTTCTAAAACTATACTGGACCAAATCCTCCCTACAACCATGCCTTGATGCTTTTTAGCTTAGGATATTGAAAAGACAGACCAAACTGAGTAATTCAAATAATAACTCAAACTATGCCATCTAAACACTACCTAATGCATCTTCTGTGTGTGCAAAAGGGTTTATTTTCATATTCTAAGGACTTCTTAGAATACATTTATTTTGGCATCCAGCTACAAATACATCCCATTATGTTATAGAACCACAAAGAACGACAAAATTGTTATCCCGTTAAATTAAATGTTTGAAATGCAAACCCTGAAGCGTAAATGGCAGATAATTCTTACCTCGATCCTCCCAGTGTCTGGCTGGAAGCCCCTGGAAGGGTCTTCAGTCGTCACTCTGCACTGGATCGCACAGCCGTTCACCCTGATCTTGTCTTGTTTTAGGCCCAGGTCTGGCAGGCTGCGACCTTCACATACATGCAGCTGGGCATGCACCAGGTCCACACTGCAACAGAGAACAGGGCTAATTAGGTTGGTAATGCTAAGGGAGCATATTCATTTTAGTGTTGGAGAAAGTCCCCCTTAAAGACAGTAACAGTTTTATGTAGACAACATCTCTGGTCAGAATGTTCAGGATATTATGTAATTTCTCATTAAACAGATTTATAATTGAGTTCTGTAGACTAATGTTCCAACCAATATTTGTGAGTCCAACAAATGACGATGGACGATATATATGGGCAGGTTACTTCGCTGGCAAAGACAAGCGCGTCTTCTGCACTACCGCACACTACTAAAATACAATAATGTAAACACACTCAAAACTATACGTTTCATCCAGTGGGAATAGTTTCCTTGTTTTCCCAGTTGTGCAAACTACATTATGACCATAGTTTGATACCTATTAGTTTATCTAAATGCATAAAATCGAACAGACTGAAGCTGTGCAAAAAAATCTCTGCCACACTTCAAAGGAGAGAATTTTCCTTTCATTTGTTATGGATTTGATTTTAACACAGAAGATTTAACAAGAGAAATAAACGGCCAGTAAACACATTACAGCTTTTCCACCAAGTGGTACTGGGGGAAGAGCTTCAACTGGAAGGAGTTTGGTGTACCAATATAAAAATGGCCCACAACGGAAAACAAAAGAAAACTTAATACTGCGTCTTAACTTGTAAGTCCAAAAAACAAAAATCTCTTAAAAAATGACCAATGAAGGACCTAATCTGTCAATTCTCAATTGAGTCGTCTAACCATACTGTAGAGACATGTTTTTTTTTTTCTAACCCAAGTATGGTCTAGACAAGCACATTTAATTTTCTACTTGCATGTAACCCTTTCATAAAGACATCTGGGCAACAAATTGTGTGAATTAGTTGGTAAAGTGGACAGCCTTCTGCTGTCTGACTAATGGAGCAGATAACTCGATTCATGAGCCACTATCAGATTGTACAGCAACATTTGGAGCTCGACATAAAGCAGAAGTGAGGTATACTTCAGAGATGCAACCAAACTCCCCTTTTTTTTTATTCGACTTCTGGCTCCTCTGTCAACATGTGCATCAGCATTAAAATAGCACTTTAACATGATAAAAAGGCAGCGACACTGCTGCAGTAAATGTGACGCACAAACAACAAAAAGCAGTAAGTGATAAAAATTAGAATCTATAAAAGGCCAATACAGACCTATTGATTAGGCAATATAGAGTTAAAATCCTTGGTAAAACATGTTTATCTAAGCAATGTAAACTAGCTCTGAAAGCAGGAGTTTAGGAAAGGCAGCAAAAGAAATCTGGAGATCTAGGAACTAATAACCTTGACCAGGATGGTCATTGAAAGAACCAAGAGGAACATCAAAAAAATAAATCCTAAAAGAATAGGAGGGGGCAATGAAGAGGATGGAATATTATGGTATAGTCTAGTCTTTGTCTTGTCTCTGTTTATAGGCATAGTCCTGTCTTCTCTTCATAGGCAGGCAGCCGTCTTTGGTCTAGCAACAGACAGTGGATGAGAGATTGGTGATTAGTCCTCTATAAAGGAGTTGCAGTAGTCTGGACTAGAAAGATAAAGGCATGACTGACCCTTTCCTTTGAAGGTCATCATGAAGGTAAGAGTTTACTTTACTAATTAGCCCAGAAAGATAAACAGACAACTGCTTTAACCTCTCTGCAAGAGGTGAGGTTATTAACAATAACCTCAAGATGCCTAATAGAGGGAGAGTCCAGCGAGTCCAATGAGCAGACAGCTGAATCCTGTCAGGTCAGTTTTTCAGCTCCATTTTATTTTATTTATTAAGTGTCATGTTCATTTTTTAAAATACAATAGGGTTTAAAAAATAACATTTCAAACTAATATACCATGGGTAAAATAAAGTGTTTTCTGGCCTTAAAATAACCTTCAGCAGACCTGTTCTTCTAATCATTTGAATCCAACCCCAACTCTAAATATATTATAGCTACAAAAATACTTTTTTGCAGTTTTAACCATTTAATATAATCCTATAGAAGTACTTTGAAAGAATCTCGGTACCATTGAACTAGTCATGCCGATTAAGTTGCATAAGGAAACCGATTGGGTAATAACCAATATCCCTCTGGTAATATTAAGATATTAACTGTATATTCCCTTCTATGGGCAAGCCTTAATATCTCAAAAATTTACACACATTTTTATAGAAAAAGTTTCTTCTTTGCAGTGTGACAGATAATGGTTACAGGGGAATCTACTAATGAGTTTCAAGCACTAGAGATGATACAACTACATAACCTAACAAAGGTGATATGTTATTCTGTCTAAAACCCCTAAAACTCTTTTTACGTCAAGCATTTTATATTGCCTATATTTTTTGTGCATCAGTCAGCAATACAAGAAATACGTTTGTGCTGCATTATTAGTAAATTTAAAAATGGTATATATATATCTGAACGCAGGAAACCAATTATCTCTCAACTCCCCGAGCTTTAACTTTCAAAGCTGCCTCATCCGTATGCATTTATTTAAATGTAAAGCTCAAGAAACCTGCTGGGTTCTTCTTCATGACTTTGCACTCTAATGTCTAACCTTGATCCATAAAAAGGCAACTACACTTTATTTTGCAAGTATTTTATATATTTTTGAAAAACAATTTATAACCAACAGCATCAAAGCTACACATTAGCTGCCACTTTCACATGCAGAAGAAATTCCCCTTAATGGCAAATGTATTCACCTATGAGGTTTCTAATCATTACTCTGCCATCCTTCCACCAAATGGGGCATTTGGTGTGAAGCGCCACTATACAATCAGAGTGTGAAAATTAACTCATTTAATCTGATTTAAGTTTTTTTTTTCTCTTATAAAAACTGGATTTTAGATAGCAAAATGTCACATTGAGTTGAAGTTACAGTTTTAACTATACATAACAGCCACCTGATTTATGGAAATTCTCACGTATTTTGCATACCCAAATGGAAAAGCAAATACCTTAGGAACTGTAAGCCCAAATTATATGAGCAATACATTATGTGAAAGCTTACACCTTTATGCAGATTTATTTAGTTGAAAACTGATTTCAGATGTCTAAAACCAACAGCTACCCAACAAACTGCTCAACAATGGGAATTTAATAATTCTTGCAAAAGTAAATAGTGTAATAAAAATATGCAAATGCAAAGGACTGCTTGGAGGCAGTATTTGGTCAGCTAATTCGAGTTCTCTGCCAATTTAATTTGGCCTACGGGATGGATTTATGCACTGCAAGCAGATTTCTTTAAACATGCTAGAGCCCAAATGACAGAACTAAAGACTGATAAAAAATAACCCATTGACTCTTAGTGCAACCTCCAGATCTGAACTAGATTCTACATCACTGAAAGCTCAGTTTTGTTTATGAATATATGAACAATGATTTTGATTGTTTACTAAGAATGCAGACCAAGATGTCATCGATAGTTTTAAAAGCAGTAATACTTTTCAGAGCTACAGTTTCTCTTCAATCAATGTCAATGAATGCCTTTCAAAGTCGGAAGATATATTTGGTGCTAAATGTTTACCTTAAACTTCAAATCGGCCCTTACGGGGTTTGGCAAACATTAAACCAAATCTGAACCCAGCAGGGATTCACTGCAGCCACTTCAAAGAGCAAGTAAAAACCTTTTATCTGAGGTCCAGGTCAAGGTCATACAGAAACCGTTTATCCACCAGCACAAAGATTTCAACCAGGCTGAGGCAAGACATGACACACCGAATCTAATTTAAGTTGCAGCACAAAGTCACTGCAATTAGTCGACTTTGCCCAAATATAAACACTTGTCTGCTGGCCAACAAATTACAATAAAAAATGTGCACAATTAAATGGTTCAATTAAATCTAAAAGCCTTAATAGAGCATCTGTTTGATTATTCCTCATTTAAAACTTTGTGAAGCTGATCGGGGATCATGCCTCATGTTCCTTTAAATGAAGCAGCACCTGATATTTGAAGGAGGCATTGCAGAGTTGATTGTGAAGTCAATTGTTATAGTTGCTGCAGGTCAGCTGCAGTTCAAAATCTGCAGATAGGGTTTCATTAAAATGTAATTAGATTAAATTGCTGCAGTCTACCCTGAGTTATGCTCAGGTTAGATAGCCATGTTTGGGGTCACAGGAGAATTCAGTGTTTTGACCTCTTCTGGAGGGTGGAGCACCAGCACAAGATAGAAACGCCTAATTTTACATACATTCAGTCTGAGTTGAAAAAAAAAAAGGGATGCATCAAAAATATCCAAAGCAGATACTTTTACTGCCATCACTAATTAACTCGTTTGTAAAGCATTTAGATAAATCAAGATGCAATAACTCAAAACTTTAAGCAAATATGCCCCATGTCCACAGACTGACACCATAAAGGCTCAGTACTAATTGCATATCATTTTCAGTCATTTCACACATAGCTCCATAGCCAGGGAGATAGAGGGTGGCTGTGCGCCCAGAGCTAAAAGTGGGAGGCAGAGAACAGAGGAGGAAAATGCATGAAGGAGTGGAGCTGTTGTGGCCATAAGAGTCAAAAAAGAAAAGAAAAAGGAAGGGACAATGGCAAACAAGCAGAACGGGTTAAGATAACATCCCAGGGTACTCTTAAGATCCAGATAGATGAGGGAAATTGAGAGATGAAGGCTGAATGACAGCTATACCCCACCAACTCGAGGAAAGAGCACTAAAAAATGACATGAGGGGAAGAAGGTGTGGGAGTGTGGATAAAGATAAAAAGCTGGATCAAAACGAAATGAGTGGGAAAAGTGGGTGCGTGGAAAGAGATTGGATTTGGCCTCGCTCAAAAGGAGAATGTGAAAGGAGGTAAAGAGGAGGTGGAGGCATATGAGGGTGGAAAGCAGAGGAAGAGTAGAGAGGAGTAAGAGAGATGGGCCTGTAGTTGGACGCGGAGATATTGCGAGTACATGGGAAAGTGGATTGAGTGCAGTAATAAAGAGAATATCCATGTCAAATTGAGATGGGGGCGAAGGTATGGGGATAAGGAATGACTCAGG